TTGTTAATAAACAAATAATAAAGTTTTACAAAATATGAAATAGAAATAGCATTGCCAAACATTAAATATATTCCGGATTCTAAAAATTCGTGGGAAGCCATTTCAACCATTCTCATCTTAGTACGAATTTAATCAGCTGAAATATTAATTAAAAACGCTGAAAACGTTATTTTTTGCAATCATTTTTCCAAGTGGCAACAGTCTCCCGCACTGAGATGAAAAATCTGCTGCATTTTGAAAATTGATGCCACTGCTCGCTTTCAAATTGTAGAATTTGTTAGTCAAAAATTTGTAAGTTTAATAAAATATGAAATAAAAATAGCATTGCCAAATATTAAATATATTATTGTATAAGGTCATATTATGACGTTGAAGAAAGCACATAACTGCGTGTGACATCATTGTATGTCGAAAATGTTTCATTAATGTCAGCATTTTAAATAAATAGCTGCTGCTGGCAACTTTTGTTTCAGGTTAGAATAACTGACACAATATGTTATTGTCATGTTAATTTTTTATTGATATTGAGAAAAAGCTTTTATATTAGATTAAATTTTAATCTGATGTCATATGTATACGTCTCAAAGGTTTTTGTTACCTGCTTTGGAAACAAAACAAAACAAAACAAAAAAAAAAAAAAAAAAAAAAAAAAAAACAACTTATGAATTGGTTGTAGCTTGGAAAGAATGAACAGATTTCATTCATACTGAAATGTTTTTATATATTTTCGTTTCAAGCATAGACCTTATAAATTTTGCATTAGCTGTAGCTCGCTAGTTTTAACCCATTAGCCGCTGGTGTTGCGTTGACGCAAGGATCAAAATAAATGTGTATATAAATATAACTACTTAAGATATTTTATACCAGCAGATAATTTTGTGTAGGGAATATTATGAAGATTATTTCTGTAAAAAAATACTTGCCTTCAACAATCATTTTGTTTATAATAACTAATCTCATACTTTAAGCAAAATTTTCGAACGGGTATTTTTACAGAAAATATTTAATGAAAGAATCGCCGTCTTTATGAGTGAGCTATTTTTAGTCAATGTCACCGTTTATCAGAACATTATATCAGTCAGATATTTATATTTGTGTTGGTAAGGGAGGGAAAACAGGTGTTGCGTTGACGCAACGTCAGCAGGAAACGGGTAGTTAATTTCCTTTTTCACTCATTCCTTTCCATGTTCTGGTTGTTTAAAAATGCCTAGATCGAGGTATCTTACATTAGAAGCCCTTCAAAGATTTTTTGATGAAGAAACAGATGGTGATAATGTTAATAATGACCAGAATGAAACTGATATTGTTGTTGTTCCCCCAGAAATTACAGAGGCTAGTGACAAAGAAGAAAGGAATGGCAATGTTTTAAATAATGATAATGATATTTTACCAAATAATACTGCTGGAAGAGTTGAAATTCACGTAAGAAGTAAGTTTCAGCCTTCTAAAACCAGTTATAGTCATACTAAAAAGTTTAAAAAGCAGAAGACTGAAATCTTGAAGTGGATAAAAAAGGAACTGTTAGTTATGTCTCAGGAAGAACATGAAGAGAAAGAGATAGAAGAAAAATTATAAAAGACAAAACATAAGGTAAAACTAGTGCACAAATTTTCGATTTTCTTTTGGTTTAGACATTTACTCTCTTCTCGTTGAACTAACAAATATATACGCTCAGAGAAAAAAAAAAAAAAAAATATGCCAAGAATTTATTGCATTTGAAGCCTATATGATAAGATTTATTGGAATATTATTGCTTACAGGATATCATTCTTTACCTCAAGGAAAAAATGTATTGGTCTTTTGATAAAAACGTTTCTGTTCCTGTTGTACGAGAATTGATATCACGTTTGCAGTACAGGAATATGAAGCAGAATTTGCATTTGACAATAGTCAAATTCACAATACTGATAAATTATATGACGCGAGACCGTATCTAAACTTACTAAATATGACCACTTTTTACAACTGGAAATATAAAGTCTCTTTTAGATTTCAGATGCGAGACTGCATTATTCCTTTTGCAAACTTCTATTGAGAGTGTAGAATTAGCCAGAAATAGATCAGCAACAGGAAGACCTAGTACATTCAACATTCAAAAACCATTGCATGGAGATAGTAGACATTTTATCGTAAAGTCCGTTGATAACAAAAGACTTTGTTGTAAAGCCAGACTGTTTATAGATGCAAGGTATGTAATGTAGCTTTATATCATGATTGTAATGAAGCTTTTCATGCTTGAATCTTCGAACTGAAATAATCTGTATTTGTAAAAGAAATATAATGTATATTTTAATATTGAGTTCATTACAAGTAAAGGGATTTGTAGATTTATAAAATGTTATGCAGTTCAAAAGTAATCCTGCGCTCCACTCAAAGGAAACATTGCACACGAGTACAATCTTACTCACTAAACATCCGTAGTCTTATTCCGCTGACGTTGCGCGAACGCAACACTCACTTTCTCCACAGGTAAGACCATTTTTTTTTTTATTTTCAATGTAAATTTATGTTATAAATGCTTAATTTAATATTTGCTATTATTTTCATGAGAAAAGAAACATTCCTTGTAGTTTTGGCGGTTAATGTAAATTATGTCTTTAGAATTGGCAAAGTATTGGAATCTGATTTTATAAAACTTCTTCACATATTCAGCCAATATCACTCAAACCATTCTCAGATTTTTTGTTGTGCTAAAATTACAAGTATATTTCTCCAGCAAACTTAAAATTTAAAATTTCAGGTATTGTGTCAGTATGTTTCCAAATTTAAATAACAGAACACATTTACCTTCAAAGTAAGACCTTTCACAGCTTACTTTAAGAGGAGTTTTGAAGCATTTCTGAAACTCACCTTGTGTATCTTTCAATTCATGCTATGTTCATTTTCTAACTTTTCTATACCAAATCTATAACACTTAATTTGTCTCTCGGTAAGGATGGCAGCAGAAGTTACCAGTGCACAGCCACGTCAGTCACATGAATGAGAAGTACGAAACTAAAAGCAACATGCCTGGCATTTTCGCATAACAGCATCTATGAGTTATTAATTCAAAATTGTGACAAGAAATTAACAATCTGGTAGCTATATTATGGATCATTTATTGGCTGACATAAATGCAGCAGCTTGTGATGTCATCATCTCTAAAACTGCTGGAAACATTGATTTTTTATTACAGCAATGAAAATTTGCTTCATTATTTTCTAAGATTTTAAGGTCACATACCCAAATATAATTGAATTTAACACCTGAACATCCAGAACAATAAGAATGTAGCACAAAATAGCTACAACTATCAATGGAATCACTTAACTGTTTTTTTTCCTCAGTGCACAGGAATAATTATATAACCTAATCAAGAAACCACATTAGATAAGCTATACATGTAGTCCCTGAACATTTGAATTATATAATTTACACTCATGTTCATAAATTAAAAATAATTCAGAGTCACTCGGAAATCGAACTCTAAAATAAATATATCACTTGTAAAATCACTACACACATCTTCAAGAATCATATGCAAATTTCACGAAGTAACCAGATGACACAGATGGTACGTCACAATGATGAGAGTGTAAGAGAGTGATATGTAAGGAATACAGGCAAAGAAGTAAAATTGTTCGCATGCGCTTTATAAGCATTTCAGTGCAATAACCGAATAGTTAGGACACAAAGGACGCATTTGGATGATTTTTTACGGGGTAGAATTATCGGCCGTCTGGAATGTGGGCGTACCCAACTGGAAGTATCAGACGAACTTGGAATTGCCCAGAGTGTCATTTCCAGGCTTTGGCAACGATTCCAAGATGATGGTAATGTGAGAAAAACCGTTACACACAGGTCGCCCCAGAGTTACAACTCCGAATGAGGACCAGTATTTGGCAGTTACTGCCAAAAGAAACAGGCGGAGCACAGCCTCAGACCTGTCTCATCAGCTCTCTTCAGCCGCTGATACGACAATTTCAAGGCAGACCGTGTACAGACGCTTAGGGCAGATTGGTCTATATGCTCGTAGACCTGTCAGATGCATTCCACTTACTGCAAATCACTGGAGTAGAGAGCATGCATTGTGGACACCGCAACAGTGGGCTTGTGTGATGTTTTCTGACGAGTCCTGGTTTAGCTTGCAGTCTGATTATCACCGGACTTTCATATGGAAAGCTCCAGGTAACCGTTACCACCAAGAAAACATCATTGAACGACACTGTTACAGTGGTGCAGGAGTGCTCGTTTGGGGTGGAATTATTCTGGGTTCCAGAACTGACCTGCATGTTCAAATTGGAACCATGACAAGCCAAATCTATCAAGACGTCATTCTGCAACAACATGTACGTTTCTTTCGGGACGCCATGGGCGCACGATTTGTGTTTATGGATGACAACGCCCGTCCTCACCGTGCAAACATCGTAAGTGAATGCCTTCAATCGGAGGACATCACCCATACGGACTGGCCAGCATTCTCATCAGACTTGATTCCAGTAGACCATGTGTGGGACATGCTTGGCCAACGAGTTGCAGCCCATCAATCTCCTCTACATATCTACCGGAACTTTGGAGAGCATTGCTTTTTGAGTGGTGTAATATCCCCCAAGATCAGATTGATAATTTGATACTCAGCATACCTAGGCGTTGTAAGGACTGTATTGCATCGTCTGGGAGACATACAATGTATTAACAATCATACCAACCATGTAATATTGGTTTTTTGTAAATAGGTGTTTTTGTAATTTGCTCCAGGGAGAAAAATCGCTAATTTTTTTTAATAATATCAAACATATAGCATCTTTTTTTGCTCTTTACCTTTTGTTTAATAAATAAGCTTTACAAATAAGTTAAATTTGTTTTGCTTCTAACTCTTCCTTTGCCTGATTTTGCATCATCCTTAATTTATGGACATGAGTGTAGTAACAAATTGCATACATATTAAAAAATACACATGCTATGGCATAAATACCTTTTTAAAAAAGTGTATTTAGTTATGGATAAAAAAGAAAATGTAATCAGCCTATTTACTACTTTATTAAAAAATCTACAAGAGTTGTAAATATACAAAAGTTAAAAAACCATATAATTGCATAAGAGATTCACGTGGTTTCATTGTTTTAAGTAAATCTTATACTAATATTACAAAGTGATATTAAAAAAAAAATCTTAAAACAGATTTGCTTTCCCTGTTAACAGAGAAAACAGTTAACATTCCACTTTGAAAAATATCTATCATTAATTTTATGTGTTAGTATCAAATAGGCAAATCCAAAATACCAACATTAGGAAATTTTCTGTATTCACAAACAACACATTACAGCTTCAACTCCAACTTATATACAACGAATGAGACAGCTAGTGGAACTCTATGTTAAAACTGCACTTCCAGAAAGATTTATTTGTTCTTAATCCTTTGCTAGCACACAATCAAACTAAAACTTATCAATAAATAACTAAAAATATCAAACAGAATCAGTAGATAAGGTGTAGAAAAATCATAAAATAAATATTTTTTTCACTCTAAAATTCATTTATTTAAATTTTACCTACACATTTTAGATTATCAAATCCAGAGAAACTAATGATAAGCATGTTTTGCACAAGGCAGTCGAATAAATAGTGGGTCATCATTTACATAATACTGCACTTGCTGCAAAAACATGTTTTTTACGGTGGGTAAATACTTTTGATAAAGAAGGATAACAATTTTGTTACAAAATGGATCATCTGATAATAAATTTCTTAGAAAAAATGTATTACTTCCTTCAATATATAAAAATAAATGCTCATTGCTAGTGCAAGTTGAATATTAATTTTAAATATTAAGTATAATTTATGAAATACATACCTACCATGCAAAAATTTATTTTATAAAATAGACTGATACATAAAAGTGTACACAGACAGTGCAAAAGACATGGACTTGTATTGGCACTTCTTTCAAATGTGGTTCTAGTTTACTCACATTATTCACACATCATACAAACGTCAAAAGTGCTTTGAATATATTTTGTTCATTAAATACTACAATTATATTTACAACATGAGCTATTATCCTTTCAAAAGATATTTACATATTTTGCTCAAAATTTAAAGAAATATTCAAAAAATAATTAAGGCTCATTAAATATTGAATGAACCTTACTTGTATTGATATCCTCAAATATGAAAATACTAAGAAACTTGAGCAGTCTATTTGCATAGAACTTGAAGGCAATAACATATGGCTTTAAATCACTAATCAAAAACATGCATTTAAATAAACTTTGCCTCTTAAGATTTCAATATGAAAATTAGCAGTCTTTTCTGTATCACACAGCTTTCGTGAGATAGCTATTACAAAAATAACTTTCCAAACATAGCAACGTTCTCTGCAAATGATGCAAAGAGCTACTTTGACTGGAAAGAGAAAAAAGAAAATGTGTTACATCTGCCTCTGCAGCTTTAGATCTGAAATGCATACAAAATTGTGGATCAAAGCAATGTCCTTATATATAAAAACTGTTGGAGATCACATTTAGACTTCATCCACAAGAATGCTAACAGGCTCGTGATGATTGTTATTAACCTGGTTTTGCTTGCTGTTTTCTTCTGGAAGTATCTCCGGTTGCGGAATTTTTGGTTCTTCCATTTTCTTTTCTAAATCCCTGATACGAACCTCTTGCTTAAGTACGATACTTTTGAGTTTGCGAATCTCTTCCATAACTTCGTCTAATTTTTCTTTCTGCAAGAAAGAACAATATTTATAAATTTAACTCATTACATAAGTATAATAATAAAATGGAAAATTTTAACAGTTCTGAACATGATACTTGAAATTAGTGGCAACAGATTTTATTATGTAATATTTAACATAACGTAATTAATGTTAACATAAACATAATGAAGATTTTATTGACCGAAATATTATTCTAATCTATACATAAAATTACAACATTTCTTTATTTATGTAGCATGTTTCTCATAGAATCTATTATCTCTCTTTATTTTGAGAAACTGTAACTGGAAATACGTATCCAGAATCATTAAGGTATTAACCCTTTGACGCTCAGTGGTCGCGCCCTGAAACCACCAATTTTCGAATTTTTTCCCCATCTTCCTTCTGAAATTTTTGAGTGAAAATCATTGAATACTGATCTTTTACCTCTAAATAACACAAAATGTCTACAGAATCATGCATGTTTTAGGTCTTTGTTCTTCAAATTAAATGCCTTTTCAAATTCGTTTTCAATGAGACAAAATAATTTTCTTTTATTAATATAAACAGCTTTAAATTTCAAAAGTTATTCATCGCACATCATGATTTCTATCATAAACAATAAAAAATAGCAATAATTAAACTGCATATATAAAAACCCTCTATATGTATGGCATTTGCTTTGTGATTTCAGGCGCGACCACTGCTCCACTAGAGCATTGTGTCACAATGCTCTAGAGGTTCAGTGGTCGCGCCTTGAAACCACTGCTCTTCACAATGGCGTTTGCTTGCTTCTCAAATAGAAATGTTTATTTTTACCTGGATATAGATAGGAGGTTTTGAAATCACAGAGTTATTTTATTACTAAGCAATACAAGCACAGTAAAAAGGTCTTTTTTTTCCCAGAGACTTTTCTCTGACCTCAACACACTTGCTCCCCAAGCTAGTATTGTGATTTTATAAATTACTTCCGGGGTTTTAATTTAGTTTGGTAATTAAAAATAGAAATTGCAAAAAGTTTTATTTAAATTAAAAATTTTCTGAATATTTTGAGACGAAAAACGAATAAAATAAGTATGAATGGGAAACGAATGATCCGTACCAAAGCCAAAAAGACCAAGCCCCCCCCCATTAACATAAAAAAGCATTCCAGATGAAAAGAAACTAAATAACGCTGGACATATACCAGTGAAATTTAGATCCAATCAGTGTACATTTTGTAGCACAAGGAAGAAACATCATAGAAGAAGATACATGTGCGAAACGTGCAATGTGGGTCTATGCATGTACCAAAAAGACAAAACATGCTTTAAAATAAAATAAATAAATAAAAATAACCACCAAGTCTTTTTTTTATCCTTATTTTACTCAGTTTTTTTAATCCATGAAGCCAAACGTCCTTATTATGTAGGTACTTATACATTCACTGCTATAGAAAAATTACATAAATGCTTATTTTTAAATTTTTCCTGACGATTTAGTTTGTAAAATAATGTAAAATATATATATATTATGCAGTTCTTACATGCATTTTTTTTTAAATTCGTAAATTTCGTCATTTATTGGAAACGCGCACGGAGAAAGGTAAATTTGTTTTCCTACTTCCTAGGTACGTTCCAAAGTCCTAGACGCGCGGTGGTTTCACAGTGCGACTACCACCCACAAAACAATGGGCAAGAGTACATTTTTTAAAATTCATATATTATTTGTCTCTGGGATCATAATATTCAATTTCTAGAGTTTTTAGTTAAAAATATTATAAAAATAATATCGCGCGCGTCAAAGGGTTAAAGCCTATGACCATATTTTTTTTTAAAGTTCTGTACAAAGAAGGGATGTTGAAAAGTTTCCTTTCAAGGTTAGGTTATACAGTCGATATTTTCTTGCTGTTTTAACACGTTCACTGCCACACGCATTTTATACGGTTTGCCCATGGTGCCAACATTAATTTTTAATTATTCAATGTATATCCTGTTGAAATATTATCTATAGAAGATAGGGTGATTTATGTAATCGTGTTTAATGCATTTTTCGTGGTGTGGGTCACTGATCACCCCCGAGGCACTGCAGACCATTATTGCGATTTATTATTTAAATTTTTGCGATCTATTACTCTTCAAACCATTATAGTAACGTAACAATGGTTGTTATTTAAAAATTCATCTGTATCAATATTTACCCTAATTATGTATTTTTACTGTTGCTCACTGGAGGGCCCTCCCGGCAATGTAGAAGAGTGCCAGCCACCGGTGACCCCCACGACAGTCAACGTGTTAAACAAAATGCAACCACAATCAAAGCATTTGTTTCATTCATAAACAATATTAATCACAACCCTCTTATAAGAGGTCTTGCTTGGATGCATTCAAAACTCCATTACAGTTCTCTCCATACTGTCAGCAGACTGAAACCTTTCCTTTTTTAGGGACTTTTTCAACTGACCGAACATGAAAAATTGTATAGGGAATAAATAAAAGATCTCCAATGTAATGTTCAAATTATGCTTCACAAACATGAGAATACATACAATAATACAAAGTTAATTTGAAAAGTATCCTCTATTTGGCATAAATAAAAGAACGTACACAGCTACAATAATTTTTTTATGTATATCTGAAAAGTATAGCTGTATCCCATTTTTGGCCATAGTCACCATGCAAATTCAAGCACTTATTATTAGGTTTCACCAACTTACAAATCCCATCTGCATAAAATTCTGCCATGGGATTTTAATAAACCTGTTGCACCACTTTGATAATCCTCACGGTCAAGCTAAATGTCTCTCGCCAAAGCCAATTTTTAATTCAAAATACTCAAGTCCGAACTGTAAGGGAATGGTAAAAAACATCCCATACGAACTGATGCAAAAGTTCTTGCGTGAAATCAGGTGTTGCTGTGCAAGAACACAACCCCAGATGTCAGCGGACTCAGTTTCTTCAAAGTGTTAAACTTAAAAAGTGATTGCCAAACCAGTTTCAATGAATTCACAAACAAGATTCCCTTAGCATCCCAAAAGATGATGGCTGCAATCTTTCTTGTTCATAAAGACTGATCGGCTTTCCTCAGAGAACCAAATTTAGAGAAAACCACAAAAGTTGCTGACTTCACAATTATTGATTCCACATTTGGTAAAACTGCACATTACTTAATTTGTAGCTGGTGTCATGAAATATTAATTATGTATATTTCTGCAAATTTTACCCCCCCAAAAATAGGCTTTTTGTATTTAGCTCATTAAAGTATAATAAGGATTTTATTGACTGAAATATTAATTCTATAAATATTCTAAAATTAATATTCCATACAAAATTTTCAGTTTTTTTTTAATTCTTGTGGAACTCCTTTCATAAGATTACCTTAATTTTGAGAAATTCTAATTGGAAATAATGTCCGAGATCATTATTTAAGGAAGTAAGTAATATTTTTTTTAATATTGTATGATTAGAAGGGATGATCAAAAGTTTCATTTGTACAGCCCCAGTAATTTATTGCTGTTTCAAAAGAAATGCCACTACCATTACAGGAGTTTCTTTGATGATTAAGATTAATAACAACCCTTACCACATGGTGCAAAAAACATCCCAGAAAATCCTGGTTTTTCATATTTTAAGGGTGGCATCAAAGGATCTTTGTAAGGGTTCCCAAATTTTGTTTCACAAGCATGAAAAAACACATGAGTAGGATGACATCCCTATAGAGGTTTCCAGGATATTTCTGCTTAATTTGATATTAGATGCTCAAATGTATCAAAGTAGCAACGTATGTCCTGCACCTCGCAGAAAGGGATAACTATATTTTGGTTTGCTTTAGTTACATATGGTAGCAATGAAGTCATCTTTATGTATATTCTAAATTTTTCATATGATTCTGAGAGCAATCACACACCCTATTAAGAGTTCGTTTCACCCTCTGAGTGCTACGATCAGCTTCACCTGATCATGATATTTTTTTTTTTTTTTGGTCACTTGGTATATATTAGCTTATAAGATATTTTGCTTTCATACTTTCTTTAATACAGTCAAAAGTCATTAATCCGGACTTGTCGGGACTTCGGCGATTCCAGATTATAGATCATTAGTTTAAATCTGGTAAGACGGCATGCAGAAATTATAAAATTAAAAATATGAAACCGTAATTTATGAAATAAAGAACAATTATGATCTAAAGGGTATCAAAATTTACACACACACACACACACACAAACAAAAAAACAACAACAACAAAAAAAAAAGTTTAATATTTATTTGTTTACTTCATTAAACATTTCTTTCAATGTAAGTTGTTTAAGCTGCTTCATTTTATGTGCTAATACTTTCTCTTTACTTTATCGGAAGCGAATTATAATGATGAGGAATTTGATTTAAATCATATCAAAGACGGAGTACATCGAGATGAAATACTAAATTTAGTAAGGAATTATAAGCCAAATAAAATAAAAACATCTGCCCTGAAGATAAGGATAGTACTGACAGATTACCTTTCAATTCATTGTGTGTTTTGGCGTTCCCCCCCCCGGGCCACAGAGCAGCGTGAAATTGATAAACAGATTTCGGAATGGTTTGAGAAACGAAGGATATGCCTTTATCCACTTTTTGCAGCAATTCCACTTTTGTTTAATGGACTTCTAAACATACTTTCGCTTTGTAGATCCTTTACATATTCGGAAATTCTATTTGACATAATTGAAAGTTCAAGCTTACTTTTACAAAATTGCTCTAACAGTCTGTAAAAAATAATAAGCCGGATCCAATTAGAAGATTAAGGAACAACGCAATCTGCATCATTAACTGAATTAGATAATTTTAGCTCAGCTTATACCGTCCGTTATACATTAAACGCGCAAGCGTAAACGTATTACGCGCATGCAAATTCGCAGCCATAAAAGTCTTATGGCTGCGAAGACTTTTATGGCTATGAAAAGTCAATGCGATGCATGAGCAGAAAGTTTGTAGCTTTGAGGTCCGGATTATAGATCATTCCGGATTATGGGTGTCCGAATTAACGACTTTTGATTGTAATAGAAAATT